GCCTTTTTAAGAGCCTGAAATGCTGATTGCTCAATCTCAGTCCACATAAGGGAGTCACCTTTTCCTCCCGTGCTGGTATAGAGGGGTTTCGCTATCTCGGCAAAGCCGGGGATCCACAGCTGGCAGTATCCTACCATGCCCAAGAATTCTCTGACTTGCCGTTTGGTCGAAGGCATGGGAATATTCTGGATTGCTCGGACTCGGCTGGCCGACAGTGTCCGTTTTCCCCCGCTTAGATCGTATCCCAAATAGGTCACCTTCTGACTATAGATCTGTGCCTTCTTTATCGAAACTCGATACCCCATGGAGTCCAGAGCGGCCAGGAGGTCTTGAGTCGCCTGCAGGCACGCCGGCGCGGATTCCGCCGCCAAGAGCAAGTCATCCACATACTGCAAAAGGGTAACCTCGGGATGGGTTTCCCGGAAAGGAAAAAGGTCCTTACTCAGCGCTTTGTCAAAAAGGGTAGGGGAGTTCTTGAACATCTGCGGCAGCCGGGTCCACGTAAGTTGGCCCGAGAAACCTTGGTCCGGATCTGTCCATTCAAAAGCGAAAAGGGGCTGGCTCACCGGAGCCAGCGGTATACAAAAGAAAGCGTCTTTTAAGTCCAAGACCGAGTACCACTCCCGGTCTGGTGGCAGCTGACTGAGTAGTGTATAAGGGTTTGGCACAGTTGGGTGGACAGTCTCTACTCGGGTGTTTACCTCACGCAAGTCCTGAACTGGCCGGTAGTCTTCGGTTCTGGGCTTTTTAATGGGTAACAGCGGGGTGTTCCATGGCGACCTGCAGGGCACTAAAATTCCTGCTTCTAACAGTCTCTGTATATGCTTACGTATTCCTGATTTCGCCCTGGCTGGGATGGGGTATTGGGGCTTCCGAAACGGGGTGGCCGAACTGTTAACCTGTACTACGACGGGTGTCTGATGAGTTGCCAGTCCCGGGGGGTTATTTTCGGCCCATACTCCCGGAATCTCTTTTTGGAGCTCCTTTAAAACCTCCGAGGGGCTTTCTGGCACCTGACTTTCGAAGAAGAGATACTCATCTTGCAAGGGCACCGTTAGCAGAAGGGCAGCAGGCTGTGGAAAGCCCAGGCTGAGGTAGGTGCCGTCCTCTTGGAATGACACCGAGGCTCGTAATTTTCTTAAGAGATCTCGTCCCAGGAGGGGGAAGGGACATTCGGGGATTACCAAGAAGGAATGGGTTATAGTCCCTTTTCCTAGATCAGTCACATGAGCTGAAGTCCGGGGATACGCCCTGGGTTGCCCCGTTGCCTCTATGATCTGAGTCTTTTCTTCAGTAAGGTGGCCGACCCCCTCCTGGAGAACTGAGTGGGCTGCCCCGGTATCTACCAGGAAGGTGGTCGGGCGGCCACCCACAGTCAAGGTTACCAAGGGCTCTTGGGGGCCCAAGTTGACAGAGCCCTGGCCCCTTCAGTCTTCCTCAAGAGTGAGGAGGCTGTTTCCCTGTGGGTTCACTCTCTTTTTACGGGGATACTCGTTTTTCCAGTGGCCCATCCCCTTGCAATAGGCGCATTGGTCTTTTTCTATGTGAGGGCGACCCCCATTCCTTCGTGGAGTCCCTCGATTCCTGTCGCTAGTTTCCTGCATGGTTGCTAAGACGACTTTGGTTAATTTCTTTGTGCCCTCAACTTCTGGGTCCTCACGATTATTAAAAACCTTCTGAGCTATCTCGACTAGTTCACTGAGATTCTTTCCCTCAAAACCGTCTAGCTTTTGAATCTTTTTTCTAATATCTGGGGCCGACTGTGTGACAAAGGCTATGTTAATTGCCCTTGCGTTCTTGGGCACCCAAGTGTCTATAGGTGTGTATTGCCTATATGCCTCAAGTAGGCGTTCCAAGAAAGCGGCGGGGGATTCCTGGGGGCCCTGAACTACCTCGCTTACTTTAGACAAATTGGTGGGTTTCCGCGCTGCACCGCGGAGACCCTGCAGAAGAAATTGGCGGTACCTGATCAGCGCTCCTTCCCCAGCGACCGTATTTGGATCCCAGTTGGGCCGTTGGGCTGGGAGGCTCGATTCCAGAATAACCGGGTCAGTGGTGGGTTGATCGCCTGCACCCAGAATCTGCTTCCGAGCCTCGAGGTGAATCCAGTCGTGCTCCTTGGAAGCAAAGCGAACTTGCAAGAGCTGCTGGCAGTCATCCCAAGTAGGGCGATGCATGCGAAAAATTGTTTCTAGCAACGAGATCAAACCTTGTGGTTTTTCAGAGAAGGGAGGATTCTGTAGCTTCCAATTATACAGATCACTTGTGGAAAAAGGGACATAAACCATAAACAGACGGTCCACCCCCTGCATGGGGGCTAGCTCCCGGAGGGGCAACAGAGTGGAGGGCTCAGGGCCGGGATCGGGGGAGGACGGCGACACGCTGGGGCTAGAGGACTTTGGAAGAACAGGTGGACGGGGACCGTACAGGAGTCCACTCCACGTTCGGGACGGACTGGGGGAAGTGTGGGGCTGGCTCCTGGAAGCCTGGGAATTCGGGGCATAAGGAGGTGGTCGAGTCCATGTGTACAGAGCGTCCTCCGGCCCCGTCTGAACATCCGTGAGGATGTGGGGCTTTGTGGATGGGGTGAGGGGCGATCTGTCTCCGCCCTTTTTAACCATAAGGAGGGACGGACACCAGGATCCTGGGAGTTTCCGTTGACACTGTTTAATGTAACTAGGTTTTGTTTTGGCGATGTCCAGCCACGTTTCTATATATGGAATCTGATCTGGGTGTCTGGGATTCCCAAGGATCACAGCCTCCACATTCCTAATCAGGATTAAATCAAAAGAGCCCTCTGAGGGCCATCCCACATCAAAGGAGGTCCACTCTAATTCGCAAAGGGTCCGGAGGGTCCCTGGCTTAACAGAGACCCCGAATCCGGAAGCCCTCTCAAAGAAATCAGAAAAGTTATTCAGAAGACATTGCAAAGGGGTGGTCGGGACGGACTGGCCCTGCCCCATTTTCCCGACCTGTAAAAAAAAAAAGGTTACTCAAGACAGACAACAAGAGAGACGATGGACAATCTAAACAGACGTACAACCTAGACAGGAACTGAGGCCGGAAGCGACGTCTCGCCTCAGACCGGAAAGTAGCCTTTACGCTGCGTCCAGCAGGCTTTCCTTTCCAAAACCAGATCTGCAGATACTAACAAATGGTGGGTAACCGCCGTGTGCACTTACCGGTAATTCCTCTCTCGGCTAGTCAGACGTCCCACCGAACCGGGGTAGAGGCATAAGATGCCTACGGGCCCGTCCCTGGTATCGGGGGGAGGCTAGACCGGTAGTCTCAAGATCTCGCTGGGGCCTCCAAATGTTGTATGGCACGATTTTACGGACAAGACCAGAGACTGGTTGGAATTATCGAGAGAGATTTATTTACCTGCCGGCAGGGACCATCACTCATTAGAGTGCGGTGGTGAGCAGATCGAAGGCAGGATTTTTATACTCTTCCATACTTATGCTTGGATGACAGCGAACAATAGGGGAACAATAGGGGAACAATAGGGGAGAGCACATTTGCACATTTATCATGCTAAAGGAAGCAAGCATGGGTACAAGGGCATAACGTCTGCGGTGATGCTGGTAATGCTGGAGCGTAGCCTGCTTTGTTGTCAGCTTTGCGTAGCGTGCACATCCGTGTTCGTGTCCTTGTTCTCATACGAACAGGACACTCTGACCATGCTTTTTACTCGTGATGAGCCATGCCCTGGCTACGTGCTACTCGTGATGAGCCATGCCCTGGCTACGTACTTGATCATGAGGGGGGTTACAACAATTGGGATACATGAATGGGCTCCATCACTGGCCAGAAACCAAAGAGTTGTGCATGCACACTCCAATTTTACTTGGAGAAATGATAGGAAAAATATGTAAGCGCATTCCTATTTTTATTGTGGAGGTGGGAATTCAAGGGAATGCACGTACTGAATTCAAGGGAATGTACATGCACATTCCAGTTTGAAGGGGCAGAAATCTCTTCCTTAGAAGCTTCCTTCCTAGAACACATTCATAAATTCTCCTGTGCAAGCATCAATTTATTTACAAGCCTGATATATGCACATTTCAACTGCATTTGTACCTGTTAAGGATGCTCACTGAAGGCAGCGAGATTTCAATAGAACATGCAAAATCAGCAAAACCAAGAATAGGCTATTTTCAGAACCACTAAAGCAGAAGGGAACCAGGGGAGCAGGGAAATAGTTATCCTTTTTGAGACTGAAACTTAGAAATAAATTTAGCTCCTACCACCAAGCGTATTTACGATTTAGCATAAACAATAAAGAATGCTATCATATAGCATTTGAAACAATTGCTCTCATGATGATTTCCCTGTTGTTGCTGTTTTTTGCCCAGAGTGGGCCAATTTAATCATTAAAAAACAGTTGCAAAATTTATTGTACATATCTGAATAACAACAGTGGCTAGATATCACCTTGGAAACAGATCTTTTCCAGCCATTTCTTGTAGTTTGAAAACAGTGCTGTAAACAGCACAGTCCCTATTTCCGTCATTATATACAGGATGACCTCTGAGAATAAAACTGTGACCCATCCTGGAATTTCTACATTATTTGGACTCCTCACACCTCCTTTAACTAAAGTGATCAGGACAGTGTTTGCTCCACCAGCAAAAGCAGGAACTTTACATTCTTTAGACTGAAGAGGTTGTAGTGGCCTCTAGTGGTAATTCTCTTGTTTCCACTAGCTTTTAACATAAAAGAATAAAATAAGATCATTTGGGAGGAATATTTCCATTAAACAGAGAAAGTTGTGTGAGTGCCCAAGCTTTTAGCTTTTATATTCCAAACTGAATCCCAGGATTTCAATTTGTAAGTGACATGCAATGAGTCCCCCTCCCCTGCATTTATGTAGTTGTATCTTTAATGTAATTAATTTTACAAGTGTTTCCTGTACTAAAAGGGTACAGATAAATGCTAAAATGGATAAAGTATACTTCACAATGGAAGCTGTATTATGTCCAATGTACTCAATGTTATTAGTTTATAGCCACTGAATAGTTTTTTTTTCTCTGAGTATTTAGAAGATTGCATAGATTGAACTCTGCTGCACATTTGTGCTAATAGTCCTTTCTTTCAGGACGCTGGTGCCACTTTTACAGATATGAATGTTCTACCTAAATGTGTAGTGCTTGGCACAATGGCACTGAGGGCTCATGGAAAGCAACTGTAGCAGCTCCTTTAGGATGCAATGCTATGACAATGGCTGTATGCCGCCCATCTCGGAGGTTCATGATCATCTAGAGCGAAGTGCAAGAAGCAAAAGATGCAATCTTCACTTCCCCCAGCTCCCATCCTGCGTTTACCAGATGGGCTTTTATACATGTCTAGCTGGAATGTTTCATAAGTGCAGATATGAGGCTGTAAAAGATTTCAGCATTGCTTCAGTCCTGGCATCTCCAGAATTGCTAGCAGAGTAATATCACTAATGCTTCTATGAACCATATATTTTGGCAATACCCAGTAGTTGTGTCTTTTTTGAAGGAGGTTATTACACAGATGAAATTTGTGCTGCAACACTGTTATATACGCTGTTTTGAATTATTTACTCCATCATGGAAATTAACAAATGGAAGGGAAAATAGATGTCCTTCCTCCTTTTGACTGCAGGAAGACTGATATTACAAATTTGGAAGGTTAAACACTTGTCTCCTACAATGCAATGGATTAAAGATCTTATGGTGTTTTTGATACATAAACAGCTGGTACAAAGACACTATCTTCAAAAGGATACTTCCTTTTTTGCTTTTGTTGAAGCTTATATATGATTACTACAAAGGTTTGTGTATTTTGTCCAAATCTATATACTTATATTTTTAAAAATTGAGAATCCCCCCAGCTATCCATGGGTACCACATTGGTAACCACTTTGTGAATTCTATTGGTGGTGCTTGTAGGTATTGTGTTAGAGGTGCATGGGACAGGTTCACATGTCACAGGAAACCATGCCATGCAGTTTCTGTGGCATGCCAGTGTTTGGCCAAACTGGCTGGTAAGACAATCATGCACTTCAGAGTGCAATGCAGTTTCTGTGCTACCCATTCTGTCGTCCTGGCCTCATTATACACCCCAGCAAAGCATATGCTGTTTGCAAGTTGAGAGTAGTAGAGTTTGAAGGCTAGAAGTGGCTACTTCTGTGGCCAATCTTGCCAGAGGACTCTATAGTGTTTTTATATTAACAATGGTAAAATGACAATCTGGGAACTTCTCCCAAGCTTACTACACTGAACCATTAGAGAGAGAGAGAGAGAGAGAGAGAGAGAGAGAGAGAGAGAGAGAGAGATTCCAAGTGAACTTGTTCAGATGCTGCTTCTATATATGGAGGAACATCAGGAAGCCAACTGGAGGTTTTTTTTTTTTTTTTTTAAGGACAGGTAGTACATAAATAAAAACTAGAAATAATTAGAAAGATTCTGATCTCCTGTATCATATGTAAATCTGTGTTATGGTGGAAACATTTTATTTGTCTGTGCATGGTGGTTAAACTAACATCTGAACTGACCTTATGTCTTCTGTTGGTAGGAAAAGCATAGTGCCATACTAATCAAAATAATTCACTTTTCCTTGAATAATAGATAAGAATGGTGCTTTAACACACCAGATTGGCACTACATGGAAATTCCTTTCCCTATTTCTCATCTAATTCCTGCAGTTTATGTGGACCTCTGTGTGTAATTCCCTGTCTTGCCACTTTGGATTCTTCAGCCAGTGGAAGAAGGGAGTGTGGGTTTCCCATGCTTCATCCAGTGGAGTCCCCAGTGTCATTTGCCATGTTGTTCCAAGGGTTACCCAACTCTGCAGAACAAGCTTTCAGGAGCGATAATGGAGCAGCAGTGAAAATGGCCTCCTTAGCCATTCTGCCAGCAGAAATGCTCCAGAGTTCAGGCTCCTTCAGTATAGTGCTAGTTCCAGGTACCAGCGGGCTCTTGGACAAGACATAGGTCCCCTTCCTCAATGACTTTACCTTTGCCCCCGTTGTCACCTGCTTTGCTCTTCCTTTTCTCATCATTGCTACCACTAGTGTGACAAGGAGAGACCCAGTGAGCAAATAAACAGTGCCGTCTACTGCTTCTCATCACCGCCACCCAGGTGAACAAGGAGGTGATTACAGTACAAATGAGGAGTAATTCCAGAGGAGGCTTCTTTTCAGTGCACATCTGGTTGAGGGTGGGCCCCAGAAGGCAGTTCCTGGAGACGACACATGGGTTTTCAAATGTAAACAGAATGAATTAGTACAAATAGTTATCAATAGAAATGTATTTTTATTACAAATGGCATTGTATGTTTGAGAAAAGGTTCATTTCATTCTCATACAAAAAGTAATGACCAAAAGATTGCTGAATGTTCCTTAGTCACCATACTCTATTGGAATAGCAGTGAGTGGCTGTATCTTCACTAATGTATGGATGAGTCTAAGTCTCCTTCCTTCCTCTACTCTGTCTTTGTGCATTAAACTTCCATGATGACCTTCATTTGGAAAGAACTTCAGTGTAAAAATCTTTCATGTTAGCGTACATGGACATTTTCCATCACCACTGAAACATCTCATTAGAGACTGACAAACTACAAGCCATTACAATAAAGGCAACAAATTGGTCAGGGTGCGGAAGAATTTATTCATGTTGACTATATAAAATTGGACTAAATCAAAAATTAAATGGGGCCTATTAATGCTACACAGAGATCTAATTGAATATAATTGCACTGCAATAATGGAAAGGCAAAACTGCACACCACACAAGCATATCTTCAAATTTAATACAGATGTCAAGACTCAGAAAAAACAGGAACTCTGTGGGTGTACTATCAAAATAAATTACAGTTTATTTGCATACAGGATATATGCATGTAGGTATCCCATAATAAATTACAGTTTAATCTCATAGAGAATACATGCATGTAAGTAGCCAAAATAAACTACAAAGAACGCACAAGATGCTTCAAT